CTACCAGTAAAAACTTCAGAAGGAAAGGAATGTTATGTGGACCATTTGTTTTCTTTTTGTGTGTGTGGCAGTTTTAAGTTATTAGTTTTTAAAATCAGTAATTTTTATATGAAAACAACTTGACCAAAAGTTTGGCACAGAATTTTGAGACCCATTAAAACAAAGTTTAATGAGAGAGAGAGAAAAAAAGATAGTAATGAACATTTCCCACAAACTTTTTGAAGCCCTTTTCATACAGAGTTACGGCAGAATAGAGCTAAACTTCAGTCAGTTGTAATAACTGTAACACTTTTTTTTATCCTTTTATAATAGAAACTGGTTTTTCGACGATTCATGGATTGAACTCAATGTTGAAAATATTTGAAAAACAGTCAAGTATGTTAGAGAGGTAAGCTTTTAAAATAACTTCTTTTTGTAGTTATAAAAACTGCTGCAATTTATTGCAGGAAATTTGGACATAAAGAAGGAAGTAAGTCGACTATTGGATTTTAAGAGTTCCTGTGTTAATTATTATTATAACTATATATGTATATATTTTAAAATTATAATTGCAGTCAATTGAAATGTAGTTTGTATATGTATCACTTAGTTATAATTGTAAACTCACTTAGTTCTGCTTTTAAATATTTTAAATTAAAGCCTATATTCAGATTAGTTTCTGGTATACAGTGTTTTAAGAGAATTTTATTTATAGAATGTGTCAACATTGAAAATTAAGGACATTTTACATGATAGGAATTTCTAATTACCAACTCCAGTAATCCAGACATCTAAGAGAGTAAACTATTCATCTGACCAAAAGTAAAGCAAAGGAAATCCTGGACAGCTGCTAACAATGGAACGAAAAGACTTAAAATTTGCATTAACTGTTTGTCAGGAACTTGGTATGTGACTGAGCCACACTCCACTTCATGTCTGATCTGTCTTTCCTATCAGAAAGATAGATGGTAACTTTCCAGTTTGTCAGACAAAAGCTTGAACATGATTTGGGGGCATTATTAAAGTAAGAGGCTGATTTCCATGAGTACTCTCTCCACGAGACCAGGGCATTAAAGCAGCAGATATCTGATCTGTTACTTACCAGCCTATTGGTGCTGTTCATAATTTGTTTTAGAAATCCTGGACATAGCAGAAAGCAATGGGAAGAGCTAGCTGAAGGAATTATTATAAAAGATAAAATTCCATACTTGAATTATCTTGTGCCAAGAAAAAAAAAATTGTTCATTTGTCTGGTCAGAATATGCTTTGTATATTTCCTCACATGCTATGAAGTATCTTCAGGATTACGGTGAATGATCTATAGTTATTTCAGGTGGCTAGTGTCATATTAGTCACATAACTGGTGTGTGAAAAAGCATGTCTTATAGAGTGGGATCACAAAGCAACTTTGTGTTGGACTTTTTGTGCTAATTTATGGTTGCTAAGTGTGAAAATTGGAGTCCTGGTGTGCTGCTGTGGGCTAATGCACTGAACCGCAAGGTAGGTTTGAGCTACAAGGTCAGTGGTTCAAACTCACCGGTTACTCCTTGGAAACCCTCTGCAGGGTTGCTTTGAGTCGAGACTGATTCAACAGCATGTAACAGCAAGTGTGAAAGTTGGACAATGAATAAGGATAACTGTAGAATAATTGATGCATTTGAGTTGTGGTGTTGGAGAAGAATATTTTTAAAAGTATCATGACCAGAAGGAAGAATAAAGAAATCTGTGTTGGAAGAAGTGCAGCCAGACTCTCCTTAGAAGCCAGAATGGCCAGACTTCTCTCATACTTTGGACATGTTATCAGGAGGGACCAGCTCCTGGAGAAGGACATCATGCATGGTAAATTGGAGGGTCAGCTAAAAAGAGGGGGACCCTCAATGAGATGGATTGGCACAGTGGTAGCAGCAATAGACTCAAGGAAAGCAATGATTGTGAGATTTGCGCATAACATGCAGTGTTGCATTCTGTGGTGCACAAGTTCATTCTGAGTTGGAACCAACTTGATGGTACCCAACAACAAACAATGAAACCCAAAGCTCCAAACCTTTGTAATAAACTTTTACCTAATTCTCAATAAGAAACTAAAACAAAACAAGCAAACAAAAACTTGTGTTACAATTGATACCATAAGGAAATGGAGAGATAATTCATAAGATGGGTGAAAATATTCACAGAGATGATAAAGGACTTGTATACAGAACATATTAAGAACCCTTTGTTGTTTTTGTTAAGTGCCAGAGAGTTGGTTCTGACCCATAGTGACCCTGTGCATAGGGCTTCCGAGGAGCGGCTGGTGACCTTGAACCACCAACCTTGCAGTTCACACTGACTTTGCAGTCTAGTGCATTAACTCACAGTGCCACACCAGGATTCTTTATAACTTAATAATTAAAAGATAACCCAATTAAAATTGAACAGAAATTTCTCCAGAGAAAATCCAGGAATGACCAAGAAGGACACCAAAAATGCTAAAGGAGATTAGTCAATATGGAAGTGTGAATCAAAACCATAAAGAGATACTACTTAACACCTACTATAATTGATTGGTTGTTGTTGTTGTTAAGTGCCGTTGAGTCGGATCCAACCCATAATGACCCTATACAGGGTATAATTGATTCGTGAACTTAAAGAGACAGACAATAAGAAATTGTTGGCAAGGGTGTAGAGAAACTGGATTCTTTATACATTAGCCTGGGAACCAGCTTGACAGTTACTCAACAAGTTAAACATACTTTCTTTGCTGGCTTGCTCTGAAACTAAACTTCCTCTTGAAAGCTTGTAAGCCAGCCATTTTATGTCTTTATAGCACCCCCACCCCTCACGTTTTAGGTAGTCATTGTGTAAGTTGTCTTTCCCTATTAACCCTGTGTACTGAGCGGATAGGCTTGATTCTTGATGTGAACACTCTCCCTCTAGGTTGTTATTTTGAGCTAAGTATAGATCAT